ACTTCCCCGAGGATGGGCACCCCACAGCCTCTCTGGGCAGCCTGTCCCAGCTCTTGCGGGCAGTCTCTGCATCCAAAGCCCCCGCAGGCATTGGGACCGCGACCCAGTGCGTCCCCTCCGAGCACTTTGGGGTTTGTTTTTTGTTTTCAAAATATCGCGCCTGAAAGCAAAACCAGCCAACTACCTGTGCGCTGCTTTATTGTTACAGCACGGGACAGATCTCTAGAGCTCGCTGCTCCCCGCTCAGCTGGGCCGTTGGGTGCGGGGTTGAGGGGCTGTAGCGTTAGCGGGGCCGGCCCGACCCGCACCTTCTCCCGCCGCAGCCGCTGGCCCCGCCCCGCCCCGGTCCTTGGGAGCCGGCAGCAAGGCGAGCTCAGCGCGGTTGCAGGATCGCCCGCAGCCATCCAATCGGGGGAGGCTATGCAAATGAGAGCCCCTTATTTGGGAGCAGGCTCCTCCCCCTTGCCGCCATGGCCGCTCCCGCGGCTGTAACCCCTTCATGGGGAGGGCGCGGGGCGGGTCGGCTCTCCCGGCGCCGGCCGCGCTCAGGCTCTTTAGCTCCATTTCTTCCCTTCTCCTGCAATTTATCCCGCTCCTTGGGCTTTTTTTTCTTTTTTTTTTTTTCTCCTTCTTCCCCTGGATTAGACAGCAATCAATCCTTCTCCCCGTGTCTGTTGAGAAGCAGGTGATCCTTGTTAACAGCCATCAGTTTCTGGATGCAGTTTCCTCGCCTGCGTTTGAAGGATGATGATACCAGGCAAGACTGAATCAGCTTAACTTTTACTTTGCAAGAGGAAAAACTTTTTTTTTCCCCCGTATCTGAAGGCATTAAAAACACGTAGTGTTTAAAAGCAGAAGTTGGTTTTAAAGCTGAACTCCACTTTCCTGGGATTTGTGTGCCTGTTTCAAAGGCTGCCTCTATTTTCTGCGTCTTTTTTTTTTTTCTTTTTTTTTTTTTTCTCCCCTCTCCTCCCTTATCTCCCAAAAGGAAACTGTTGCTAGTTGGAATAGACTTTTTAAATGTTTGGGATTCAAGATACTTTAGGAAGAGGACCAATTCTGAAAGATAAATCTCTAGGTTCTGAAATGGATTCCGTCAGGTCCTGGGTCAGAAACGTTGGGGTTGTGGATGCAAACGTAGCAGCACAAAGGTAACCGTGACTATTTCTCCCCCACTTTCCACTCGCTTTTTTTTTTTTAAGTAAACCTTTTCTTTACTCTCTGTTGTTGTTCACATTTGATATTAGATTTATTTTCTTCCTGTCTGTCCCCCTCCCGGTCTCCTCTAGTCAGTGAAAATTCAAGGTAGTCCAGCTAGAGCTAGGGAGAAGTGCTCCCAAAACTGGAGAGCATCAAGAGTCCTAAAATCCAGTGCGGGAATCAGATAACAGAGAGATCAGATCATTCTTTCTTTTTCTGCACACGGAAGGTGGGGGGACTGGAATGGTTGTGCCTGGTGATACAGATGAGTCCTTCCCACTTCCCGGGTCAGACAGCCGAAAAGCAGCGGAGCAAGTTAGAATTAACTTAGACACAGATCTCTTCCCCCGCCGCCCCCCTCCAGCCCATCTTGTTTTACTTAATTCAAGTGGTTCTGTAGCTACCGTAGACACTGGCAAAATCTTAACCCGTGGATTAAAGGCTGCTAGGTGACTACACCAGGCAAGGAGCGAAGCAAAGCCGGGTTTCCAGTCAGACGGAGAGTTTGCAGAAGGGGAAGAAGCGCCGGCAGTTTGGCAGCGCTGAGCCTGGAGCCCGCAGGCTGCCCGTGCAGCCCACCCGCATCCCGCCCAGCCCACCTTCAGCATCTCCAGACCTGCCGCTTGCTTCTGTGTGGCACCTGCCTGTATGACAGGTCTCTGCTGCTCTGAAAAGCTTCCAAACACACCGAACTGGGGGCTTGTCTGTTTGTTTTTCACTTGTTTGGGCAGGTTAGACACCCCCCACCTCCTGTTTAAAATTTTTCTCTTCCCAGCCAAGTCGGCACAGGACCGTTAATCCAGTCTCTCCTCCTTAGGGGTAAAACGATGAAAAACCCTTTAAATATTTTAAAATATTTTTTTTCCTCCTCACTCTCTGGATACCTTTTTTTAAAAAAAGGTAAAAAAAAAATAGCATCTCAGAAAGGAAAGGCTAAATTTGTCCCAGGAACAAGTTAGGTTTTATTAGGTATGGAGACAAGGTGAAGGGCATGTAACAGCAGATGGGACTTCAAATGAAACAGGGACATTATAGAAATAGTCCATCCGTGCCCCCACCCACGGCCTGATCCATGAGCAAGGTTTTCCAACCGCTATGGGAGGAGTTATTAGAGTTTTATGAATGTCGATAGACAGTTTAATAAATATGATGTGGGGGGAAGAGTTTTATTCCTGGGGAAACTGAAAGTAAAAGGAAACAGCTCCTATGAAGCCTCTAAATCACGGCAGTGGAGGAGATGTAGTCCTGTTGTGCTGGGTGGTGGCATCGCCAGGTTTTTTTTTCAGAGATCTGTAACAAACCAAGAAATCCGAGTTTTTTACATGCAGAATGAGAGGGAGCCCCAAGATCGGTGCAGTTGTGGCGGAGGCGGTGAGTTCACACTGTACCTGTTTGGCAATGGGAAACACAGGGAAACATCTGGAGTTCTCCAAAAGAGTCACATACTTTGGCCAGTGCAGTGGAGCTATTTTGGGGACTGCAAACTGGAGCTGTTCTGAGTCCTAATTTGTCTGGCAGATAGACTTAATCTGTCAATTAATTAATTAATACAAAGGTGCTTATGTACGCCTGTTTTCTTTGCGGTAGGTAGAAATTAACATTAGGGAGAGGAGCTACAACTAGTTTCACTAAGAACTGTAGCTGCAGGTAGGGTATTGTGGATGTGCAAAAGCATTTGAATCTTTCCAAGCTGGGAAATGTCACTGCATTTTCTGCAGTCAGGGACAAGATTTGGGCAAGGACTTATTGACTTGAGTCTAAATTCTTTCCATTTAAATCAGAAATTTTAGATCCAGGCATCGATTCAAATAGGTCAGTGACTAAAGGCAACGCTGACAAACTTCCCTGCTGAGGAAAGTGGGTGCTCTGCTTGAAACTAGTTGTCTTTACATAAAATGTAGGTACCCTCAAGTTGACACTCTGCTTGTAGGAAATGTTTTAGGGTGGCTTGTCTTCTCCTACAGGAAAAATGACCCATGCTGGGATGTACAGCCAGCACTTCCAGACTCTGCTCTGTTACATCTTCTCGCCCTGCGCCTTGCGGTCCAGAAATGAGTGTGACGGGCGAGAAAATCGGGAGAGAGGGAAGGAAACGCTGGCTGCATTTAGCAGGAGCGGCTCTGTAAATTACTCCTGTCCTCAGAGCAGAGCTGTAGACACCGGGGCCAAGCCGAA